CAGGCAGAATTTCCTTCACAATCCAAACAGCCCCCACACCCACCACAAGGAACTGACTGGAAAACACTATTACTGTAGCTAAGCCTGAAGCCATTCCTGCTTTACTTAAGCAGCATTAAGCCCACCTAGCAATTTCTGCCCTCTCTGTTGATCCAAAAAATGCTTGTGCAAATAGAACAAGTACAATCCAAGAAGCATCAGCATCAGTACTTCCCCATCCTTTCAGCAGTGGCCCCAACTCTAACACAATTTCAAGACGCTAACCCTGTTAGAAACAAGAAGAGCTTTTGCAGTACCTTGCCTTCCAGATAAAGAGATTTAATTATATTATTCCCTGGACTGTTTAAACTTTTCATAATGAATGGACTAAGGGAGGCAGAATTTAAGTCTTTCTTAAAAGCAGCTTTATAAACAGATCTCCTGGATTTTAATGTAGCTTTATTTAAGCATCTGAATATCAACAAATCCAGAGCCCAGTTAACATTGTTTATGATTTCAGCATGTTTAGTGTATATATTTCATATCTTACATCTGATGAAGAAAGCCACAGTGTGCCTTATTGCCCCAACATCCAAGGGATCACCACGATTTGCTAAGCCAGGGCACTCGCTGGCAGCTTGCCAGGAACCACTTTGGAGATGGCTGCAACTTCCCCCTTTTGTACACGAGAGGCCTCCAAACTTCTCATGCCTCAGCTTGCAGCACTCCACCTTGGAACCGACCTGTTGGTCTGATGCAGAGTATTACAACCAGGACCTGCAGGTCCTTGAGCCTCCTCTTCCTTCTGATGGAAAAGAGCAGACTTAGGGTGTATTGTAGGCACACCTTAACCACCACACCTTAAGGACATGATTATCAGTAGCTATTACAAGTTATCTACCTCTGCCAGTGCAGAAGGTTGGTTTTTTGTCAAACAATACCAGACAGGTCAGACTTGTTTCAATAAAGACTGCTCTGTCCTAGGGATCTAGAGGAGCTCAGTCCACAGAGGATTCTCATACTGCTCCTTAACGCTGAGGGAATGAAAAAGGGGAAGAAATAGGAGGACAGATTTCTTTTCCAGCACCAAGTTCAACCAGCATTAGCTTCTTATTTAGGTCAAGAGGTGTAACAGGAACTGACAGCTGTTAAAGTGAGGAGGACAACAGAAAAGAACAATCAAGCAGCTCTGTAGACTGCATTCATGAAAAACACTGGCAAAGCATCTAACAACTTAAGGGGGGGGGGGGCG